TCATGATTACCAAAGGGGAAAGGGAGGGGGGGATAAATGAGGAATTTGGGATTAACAGATACACACCACTATGTATAAAATAGATGAACAGCAAGGTCCTACTGTAGAGCACAGGGGACTATATTCAATATGTTATAATAAACTATAATGGAAAAGAACATGAAAAGGAATATATATATACATATATATGTGTATAACTGAATCACTTTGCTGTACACCAGAAACTAACACAACATTGTAAATCAATTATACTTCAATAAAAAAAGCCAACATGGGTTTCCCTAGTGGCGCAGTGGTTGAGAGTCCGCCTGCCGATGCAGGGGACACGGGTTCGTGCCCCGGTCCGGGAAGATCCCGCATGCCGCGGAGCAGCTGGGCCCGTGAGCCATGGCCGCTGAGCCTGCGCGTCCAGAGCCTGTGCTCCGCAACGGGAGAGGTCGCAACAGTGAGAGGCCCGCGTACGGCAAAAAAAAAAAAAAAAAAAAGCCAACAAAAGAGGTCATGTCAGAGAGGGGGTCTGAGAGACCTTTGTGGTAAAGTGCCTTTTTGACCACACACACACACACACACACACACACACACACACACACACACACACACATTAACAGAGAGAAGAAAAAGGCAACAGGAATTGTACAGCTCTAGGGCTGCAAAGAACCTTTAAAATCCTTTAGTAAAACTTGCCCACTTTAAGATCAGAAAATGATGTTCAAGGAGGTTAAGGTCAAGCTCACAGAGACAGAAGGACCATGTGGCCCTCCTGGACTCCAGCCAGGAGTCAGACATATCTGATTATCACCTTGCTCCCAAGGAAAACCCCAGGCCAGAGGGTCTGTGCCCTGGCTCAAGCCAGAGTCACCAGGGGGCTTTAAAAAGCTCCTCTGCCCAGACTGCAACTGGGACCCGGGATGGGGATTGTTCCAGTGTGGGAACCACAGCCCAAGCTGATCTCTATGCATTCCCTCCCACTCTAAGTCCACTTGTCTTCCTGTCGCGGGCTTTCAGGGGTGTTTTATTTACTGCGTGGATGCAGTGATGGAAAGGGCTCTGTGAGGCTGTACAGAAAGAAGCCCAAAGAAGCGTCCTCCAGTTTGTCCTTTATATGAGAGGGGCCGAAGTTCTCTAGGGTTTGGCTTCACATGCTTCTGTTCTCTCTTTCTCAGCCCCTAAAAGTCTCTGTGGCAAATATTTCGAGTTACTGAGATGGAAACAAAAAAAGCAAATGTATAAGGAGATCTCCTTAAGTAAAGGCATTAACTCCGTTGGCAAATTCTTCAGGAATGTGACTGTATTACTGCTCCCTCCACCCAGGACTCCTGTCTCCCATGTGCTCATCATGTTAGCTTTTCGAAATCAGGACTAATTTACCTGAGGTCCTTGCTTGAGGCTCCTATCAAAGTGGGGATGTCAGAAAAGCTCCCCAGATGAAAACGGGACCCCTTACTTGAAAGGCATGCCATAAAGGGATGGGGGGAGCCCCTGCAGTCCACCACATGCGTACAACACCGAGAGTAAACCCTAAGGTCAGCTATGGACTTGGGGTGACTATGATGTCAGTATAGGTCCATCCTTGGTAAAAAAAAAAAAAAAAAAAGTATCTCTCTAGTGAGTGATGTTGATAATGGGGGAGGCTACACGTGTGAGGGCAGGGTGTATATGGGAAATGGTCAACTAGAGATAAGAAGGATTGGTCAATTTTATTACTTTCAAACTTGATGGCTCTACGTTCCCAGAGTTCAAACACACTACACTAGACCAAAGGAAGCCGCTTTTTAAAATCTGTTTAATATTCCGAGTTACACAGTAAAAGTACAAAGTGCTTTGGGTCACAAAGAGTAACTGTTGCACAACGCATCCTCCTATCACTCTCTGATTCTGCAACAGATAATGGCCTGAATTTTTGTACCGTGCTTAGGTTTGCTATATTTTTTATTATTAGTTGGTCTATGAAATATTTATCTGCATTATCATTTTACATTAATATTTAACAGAGTCCCACTGATTGGAAGGGTTATAGTTGTGTGATGGTGCCACGTAGACAGGTTAACTCATCAGGCCCTTAACTCTTTGTCTGCTTAAGTTAAGGGAGAATAAATCAGCAACATTAGCATCATTTTATAGTAAAGATTTTTTAATGTGCATTTCCAGAGGACTCTTCTATTCAAATAAGAGTATTCTACCTTATGTACTATTTCTGTAAGCCCAACCGTCACAATGCGGGACCAAAACAACAAACAGACTTGGGGGCACAAGGTCCCATAATATTAAAAAAAAAAAAAAGACTCCACCCACTCAAATTGCCTCAGAGAATACAGTTAGGTTTACATCAGCCTTAGGTTCAGTTTAACAAGTTAGAGGTGAGCAGAAATTCTTAGTTGACAAGTTACAGAAAAGCAAAAATTCTTTAGCCGGGAATGGATTATCTTTTCTTCTTATTCCTCTGGTTCAAGATCTTAAACTAAAATGATTATCTTCTGTGGAGACAAATCAAGAACAATTGTATTCCCTAAAAGAAAGTTTCTCAGAAAAGAATGGGCCAGTTACAGGAGCCCTGTGCAAGAATATTTGCTTCCTGGACTAATTTCTAATCAGTCTTTAGGAACTTGCGTTATTAACACTGAGTCTAATTTCATTCGGTGTTTAACAAGTGTCTAATGACTCCATACTTCTGTACCCTCTGTTCATCAGCATGGGAAAGGAGAACAGGGGAGAAATAGCTGGGTTTACTGGGAATTTTGCTAATGAGGCTTGAACCTCAAGCCCCAGACCCTTTCGAGACCCTGCACTTCATTTCGGTTTTGATATTTTCTTTTCTTAAAGAGCACCGTCAAATTTTATCCACTTCAGGTCACACCAAATCTAGATTATTCCTGGGGAGAAATCAAGTCTCTTCTCTCAAGGAGCTGATGGTCTGAGAATGTTCTTTTTCTCCCACCCCCTCCGTAACCCTTGCCCCCTCACCTCTCCTAAATCAGTGCTTCCCCAGGCACTGTTTGCACAAGATTCACCTGGGATGGTGCTGCCGACACAGTCACAGGCATATCACGATTCTGATGCAGGGTTCAGGTTAAGTCCTGCTAATATCTCTCTGGGGATGAAGCATGGCACTGATATTTCTGCCTCAGTTTCCCTAAATTTCCATGCACTTTCTAGAGAGTGGCCAGAGTCACAGCGTGCAAATCATAATACCATGCAATTCGGCAATATTTCTTGGATGAATGCAAATAATAATTAGTTCCTCATTCAAAATCATTACCACAGTATAAAATCCAAACTCCTCGGCATGCTGGCCTTCAGGCAGCTCCAGGTCCACCCTCCTTCTGCTGCTTCTCCTTTACCCCCAGTGTCCCTATGATTCTGAAATACTCCCAGGCACCTTTAATGTAATGGCCTGTCGTGCTTTTAGGCCTCCTAACTGGTGGCCTCCTTTACCCACCATGACCCTCACTCCCCTTCGTCAGCACACACAGCTACGCAGCACGGCTTCTGGGTAGCTTGATTTGACCCCTCTCTGACCCCACACCCCCCTTCTCCAGGCAGATTTAGGCATCCCTACTTCTAAGCAGCCCTGGCACCTGAGAAGCAGTGCGTTAAAGTACTCCTCACGCTGGGCTGTCATTGCCTCCTAGCCATTCTTCTCCTGTTGGGAAATTCTGAAGGGCAGGATCTGTATCTTTTTATCTCTGTATCCAGGGCTCTTATTATGGACCACAGCGCCCGGCCCATGATAGGTGATCAATTTAAAAACATTTTTTAAAAATGTAGAGAGGAATTAAAGAAATTAGATAACAAACAACAGGATAATATCAACAAGTAGACAACTTCTGTATACTTTGCTATTTTTCTCACTATCAAGTAATATGAAGTACCTCCATGTGCACGGATTTATACTAGCCTCCATGCAAAGGTTTACCCTAAAAGGCAACCTTTACCAGCAAATAGGGGCACATTTCACTCACACAAAAAATGTGTGGTCACCCAAGGGAGCAAAGAATTGACAAGGTATTCAAGAGCCTCTCCCCTCAGAGTTAACTACTTGGAATCTCTAGACTGGAACCATGACCTCTGCTCCTCAGAAGCTGGAGTTGCAAGTCCTGGGTTCTCATCCAAAGCCACCACTTCCACGCCTAACAAGTTGTGTAACACCTGCAAGCTTCTGTTTCCTTATTAAAAAGGAGAAAATAGTACAGACTTCACAGACTGTAGGCTTTGATCCTAAGGATCGAATTAAGCAATTTGCATGAAGCCATTCATTGGTTCTGTGCCTGACACCCAGTAAACACCCAGCAAATGGTATTTGTTGTCGTTATTTCCAGTGCTTACAAAGTTGAGCTGACTCCCAATGTTTAATGTGATTCCTGGTCCTTCTCCTTACAGAGCAACACCCGGCTATATGTATTTCTTGTACAGATCGCAGGTTACAACTGGGCTCTGATGTGGCTGTCCTTTTACGGCTACAGGGGGCTGAGTCTTTGGAAGGTGGAAATTTCTAGTTTCAACTACATAGGGGAGTATATGGGTCCTCTGGGAGAGAACTCAGGCCAAGCATGGAATGTCCCCAGGTTCTGGTTCACAGGAAGATCTCCTATATCCTCCTGGGGCTCCACTTTGGGGTCTGGGGCTTCCGGAAGTCTCAAATCTTTGAGCACCCCTGGATGCTACAGGAAAGGGAGAGATGGCTGTTCTCTTCATCTTTTTTTTTTTTTTTTTTTCCCATTAGTTATCTCTGAGCTATGATTAGACATTCTAGCCTTGTCCCAGACTTGCTACAATTTGGAGTTGCCATTGCTTGCTTTGCGGCCTGAGCACTGAAGAGAGTGAACAGCGCCCCCTGAGGCCAGCGAGGTGATGGCAGCAGTAATAAGCGAACAACTCCACACAAGGCGAAGGTGATCCTTGGAGGAGGAGAGCGTCCCCAGCTGCCATCCTCAGAGGGTCTGACTTGGCACCGCCTAAGGAGCACATCTGGGCATCAAGCGTAAAAGCAGGAAGCCGCTTACCTCCTCAAAGGCATTGCTGCCTGCCACCACGATATTCGGCCTGAAATTGTCCATCTTCACTTTCTTCTCCAGCCTGGTATTCAGATCTGCCAGGGAGGCTTCTGAGAGGATCATGATGGGGCTGCAGTCCGGGTAGGCCACCTGTGCCAAGGACACAGCATGATCATGCCTCGCTGCCCCTGGAATGGCTCAGACCAACGGCACAACTAAGCAAAATCCAGAAGCAAAACCACGTGAGTGCAGAAGGGGAGAGTGGTGCTCAGGAAGGATAGGTGACACTGAGGGCTTGGAAACAGCCCAGTCAGGGTTCCTGCCCACCCTGGACGCAGGTGGGGCTCCCCATCCACACACTGAAGGCAGCAGCCAGGCTCAGGTCCAGTGTTACCCTCCAGCCACATCTCTTGCTCTTTCCTCAGGCGCCCAGCAGTGAGCCCTTTGCCACATCATCAACACCACCGGACAGGGCAAGGGTCTCCTGCCAATCAGCTATACTCTAGCCATGATTTCCTTCAGCAGCACCATTCAATCACATGCATTTATTAAGCACCAGCTGTATATTGGGCACTGTCCTAGGTGGGGAAATAGCAGTGAGCACAGCAGATAAAACCCCCTGCATTCAAGGAACTTTGCGTTCACGGGTCATGAGGAGAGACTCCCCGAGGTGCATTTTGAACCTCATCTCACGGCAGAATGAAAGGCTTTGGCTTGGGGGCTGTGGCTGACACAGGAGGAGGTGACTTCTTAGCCCCGGAAACAACCACACCCCACTGGCTGTGAAGGGAGGACTTGGAGAACGTCTGCTTCTGTGCTTTTAGGAAACCTGAATTTAGTCCCAATCAAACTTCACTTTTGCCTCCCAGCCCATCCTCACCTGAGTCCCCATCTCCCCGGGAGTCACCCCTGGCTTCTCCCTCCACAGTTCCTCCCATATTCCATACTCCATGCATCCTGGAGAGCCCACCAGGCTCTCATCCACTTCCCTCTTCATCCCTGATACCTGCCCAGGGAGCACCCTCAGTACCACTCCCCTGGACTATCTCTACACTTTCCTAACTGAGGCCCCAAGAGAGGCTCTCTGTGGACCCAGAAGGAAGCCAGAAGTGAAGGGCAGCTCTCTGCAAGCTCACCTGGTACTTCTGGTCAACAGAAGGGAAAATTTCGCTTGATGGTCTTCCCTTCATGTTCTTTTCAAACTGAACCAGCCTGCAAGCTTCTGTTTTCAAGAAGTTGGTGAACCACTGAGCAGCCTCATCGCCACAGTCCCTGCCCTGGATGTCAAGACCAAACACCCTGGAAGGGTCACAGAGAGCAGTGAGGTTACTTTCTTCATCAACACACCGAGTGATGGGGTCAAGAGGAAAGTGCTGCTGGGACCTGACTCTCCCAGAAGACCAGGAAGTGGTCTGTGGGCCAAAGCTGGGCAGAAACAGAGGGGGAGGGAGCAGGGAAGAGCTTGTCAAACCCTAATAGGCTTGTAACTCACACAGATCTCATTGAAATGCAGATTCTGGTTCAGGAGGTTGGGCTGGAGCCTGAGATTCTGCATTCCTAACAAGTTACAGGCTGCTGGTCCACGGACCACACTTTGAGTAGCAAGGATTTAGGTTACTTTCAGAAGGGGAGAAGAACGGTGGTGTAGTAAAGGCACTCTGAGCTTGGAGTCTGGCAAGACCCGGTTAAAATTGGAACTCTGGGGCTTCCCTGGTGGCGCAGTCGTTGAGAGTCCGCCTGCCGATGCAGGGGACACGGGGTTCATGCCCCAGTCTGGGAAGATCCCACATGCCGCGGAGCGGCTGGGCCCGTGAGCCATGGCCGCTGAGCCTGTGTTTCTGGAGCCTGTGCTCCTGGAGCCTGTGCTCCGCAACAAGAGAGGCCGCAACAGTGAGAGGCCCGTGTACCAAAAAAAAAAAAAAAAATTGGAACTCTGCCATCTCTAGTCTGTGACTTTTAGCAAATCATTAAACTCCTCTGACCTTCTGTCTCCAGTTGTAAATTGGAGATAATAATATACCACCTGCCTCACACGGTGGACACAGATTCCACCAGATAACAAAGTGGTCTTCAAGGATTTTCTGCTTGAGTGCCCCCAAAAGATACAAGCTATGTACCCCTCACAGAATTACAAGTTGGCATGTAAACTTTTTTCTTTTTTTTAAGTTGAAATATAGTTGATTGATAATATTGTGTTAGTTTCAGATGTGCAGCAAGTGATTCCGTTTTATATATACTTTTTCAGATTATTTTCCATTATAGTTGATACAAATTTTTTTTAAGATTTATTTATTATTTATGTATTTAATTTATTATTTTATTTTTGGCTGCTTTGGGTCTTAGTTGCGTTGTGGTGCGTGGGCTCCTCTCTAGTTGTGGCGCGTGGGTTTTCTCTTCTCTAGTGGTGGCGCGCAGGCTCCAGCACGCGTGACCTCAGTGGTTGTGGCATGTAGGCTTAGTTGCCCTGTGGCATGTGGGATCTTAGTTCCCTGACCAGGGATCAAACCTGAGTCCCCTGCATTGTAAGGCGGATTCTTTACCACTGGACCACCAGGGAAGTCCCCATACAAGATATTGAATATAGTTCCCTGTGCTGTACAGTAAATCTTTGTTGCTTATCGATTTTATGTACCATAGTTTGTATCTATTAATCCCACGCTCCTAATTTTTCCCTCTCCCCCTCACTTTCCCCTTGGTAACAATGTTTGTTTTCTATGTCTGTGAATCTGTTTCTGTTTTGTATATAGATTCCTTTGTATTATTTTTTAGATTTCACACATACATGTTAGCATATAATATTTGTCTTTCTCTGTCTTACTTCACTTAGTATGATATTCTCTAGGTCTGTTCATTTTTTTTTAAGTTTAATTTGTTATGAAAGATTAAATTTCCATTGAATTATAAATATTAACATTTAAAATAAAATTATATCATAATTTATATATTATGTCTTAGTATTATAAATATATATAAATTATATTAAATAAAATAAAATTATGCTTTTAAAAGCATGCAATGGAATCCCAATGCCAGGCTAGTTTGATATCTATTTTTAAAAACAATCTTTTTTTAAAATAAATGATTAAGGACTTCTTTTATGGTCCACATTTTAAAAATTATTTTTAACTTTTTTCCCAGTTTTATTGAGACATAATTGACATACGTAAGTTTAGGGTGTAAAGCATAATGACTTGACTTACATATATTGTGAAATGATTACAAGTTTAGTCAGCAGTCATCATCTCATATTTTTTTTAAGTTTTTTTCCTTATAATGAGAATTCTAAGGATGCACTGTGTTAATAGATGGAATGGAAGAAGTTGAATTATAATAATTTCACTCATCCTTTGAACCCTTCTGTGATCTTTGGCACTTAATAATCATTCATCAAAAAGTCTTTTTAAATAATTTATCAGCAAATTTGATTCGAGGCTCCTTAATCTTAGCGTAAGACAAAGACTTTGAACCACTATCTTGTAGAATGACTTTACCCCATCACTGGAGACATTCTCCTTTATCAACACCAGTATATTTTATTGTTTGGGCCCCATAGGTTTTCCCCTCCCAGAGCAGTGCTCCCTACTAAGACATGGGGAGGGCAAGCCTTTCATCTGTACAAAGGGGAGGTGGAGAGGAGAACTTGCCCCCTGCAGCTAAGATCACTGTTGGAGGGAGAACCTATGGGATTTGAGGATCTGGAAATTGATTCCCTTACCCGCCCTCTGATACCACAGGAAGTGTTTGCACCTCTCTGTGTGAGTGCTTCTCCTAGCTTGAAGGCTCCTGGGGTGATGTATGTGAGGGAATCCAAGGTGAACTGTGGACCCCGAGGCCCACAGTCCTGGTCTGACTGCTACACACGCCTCATTCTCTGACAACCTAGCCCACCTACTGTCAAATCTCCATGCTGTTCTTCTGATGTTTTTGGCCTTTTCCTTCTCTCTAAACCCCCTTCTTGGAGCTGCTGTTTGGCCTCAGTCCCCCTGCCGTCTCATAGTCCTCTCTCTCAGAGCCTTCAGCCTTTCCCCTAAAACTCTCCTCAACCAACCAGTCTACTATCTCACACAGATCTGATTGCACCGTTCATCAACTCCTTAAGTATCTGTTCCTGGGCTGAGCACTTCCCTCAAACCCTTCACCAGAGCCCTCGTGTATAAGTGCGTACACTTCTACCCTCAGCTTCCATACACTCAGATAAGCTTAGTGTGGGCACTTTGAAAAGTAGAAAGCACCCAGTGGGGCAAGGGAAAACTGATTATCCAGTGCCCCTTCCCACTCCTGAAACATATCCCTCCCCTAATCCTTCCTCCCTCCCACCCCTGCAACAGACTCTATCCCTCTGCCATTCCACCTTCTTCAATTCTCTCAGAATTTGGGAATTCCCTGGCAGTCCAGTGGTTAGCACTCAGCACTTTCACTGCCGTGGGCCCAGGTTCTATCCCTGGTCAGGGAACTAAGATGTCATAAGCCATGCGATGTGGCCAAAAGAGAAAAAAGAGTTCTCTCAGAATTTTATGCAAAGTACTTGCTTCCACATTCTGATACAAAATGTTCCATCATCAACAGCCCATAGAAAAAAACTGAATCTCCATGTGTGAGTACAATAGAACTAACATTAGTTAGTAATCTACTAATTCATAAAGTAAAATAACTTACTAAAAATACTTAAGAAGACATAAAAGTTTAAATGGATTTTTATAAAGAAAATCCAGGCAGTTTTACTGGAAATTTCCACCAATGATCAAAGAATAAATACTACCAAAGATAAACAGAAAAAAAAATTTTAATTGTCATCTAAAATAGGAACAAAAAGTTAAGATATTTAGGACTAAATCTAACAAAAGATGTACAATTCTATTATAGAGAAAATTATAAAACTTTTTTTTTAATTTTTGAATTTTATTTTATTTTTTATACAGCAGGTTCTTATTAGTTATCTATTTTATACATATTAGTGTATATATGTCAATCCCAATCTCCCAATTCATCCCACCACCACCCTACCCCGCCCCGCTTTCCCCCTTGGTGTCCATACGTTTGTTCTTTACATCTGTGTCTCCATTTCTGTCTTGCAAACCAGTTCATGGGTACCATTTTTCTAGATGCCACATATATGCGTTAATATTCGATATTTGTTTTCCTCTTTCTGACTTACTTCACTCTGTATGACACTCTCTAGGTCCATCCACATCTCTACAAATGACCCAATTTCTTTCCTTTTTGTGGCTGAGTAATATTCCATTGTATATATGTACCACAACTTCTTTATCCCTTCGTCTGTCGATGGACATTTAGGTTGCTTCCATGACCTGGCTATTGTAAATAGTGCTGCAATGAAGATTGGGGTGCATGTGTCTTTTTGAATTTTGGTTTTCTCTGGGTATATGCCCAGTAGTGGGATTGCTGGGTCATATGGTAGTTCTATTTTTAGTTTTTTAAGGAACCTCCATACTGTTCTCCATAGTGGCTGTATCAATTTACATTCCCACCAACAGTGCAAGAGGTTCCCTTTTCTCCACACCCTCTCCAGCATTTGTTGTCTGTAGATTTTGGGATGATGCCCATTCCAACCTGTGTGAGGTGATACCTCACTGTAGTTTTGATCTGCATTTCTCTAATAATTAGTGATGTTGAGCAGCTTTTCATGTGCCTCTTGGCCATCTGTATGTTTTCTTTGGAGAAATGTCTATTTAGGTCTTCTGCCCATTTTTTGATTGGGTATAAAACTTTTCAAAGAAGTAAAATAAGATATAAATAAGTGGGTAGGGACTTCCCTCGTGACACAGTGGTTAAGAATCCACCTGCCAATGCAGGGGACACGGGCTCATTCCCTGGTCCGGGAAGATCCCACATGCCGTGGAGCAACTAAGCCCATGTGCCACAGATACTGAGCCTGTGCTCTAGAGCCTGCAAGCCCCAACTACTGAACCTGCATGCTACAACTACTGAAGCCTGCGCACCCAGAGCCCATGCTCCGCAACAAGGGAAGCTACCGTAATGAGTAGCCCGCACACTGCAACAAAGAGTAGCCCCCACTCACTGCAACAAGAGAAAGCCCATGCACAGCAACGAAGACCCAACACAGCCAAAATAAATAAATTAAAAAGTTCCTGTCTGAAACAGTTTAAGGTAAAAACTTGCAATTGTGTGGGCCACTTCGATCTGAAACTAAGATGTTTCTTCCTAACAAGCTGAAAACGGTTTCAATAAAAAGCTTGAAAAAAGAAACGAAAAGTCTACAATTCAGTAAATTAGTCATTTAAAAAAAAAGATATAAATAGAGACATCGCTGGTGGCACAGTGGATAAGAATCCAACTGCAAATGTGGGGGACACAGTTTCGATCCCTGGTCTGGGAAGATCCCACATGCCGTGGAGCAACTAAACCCATGAACCACAAATACTGAGTCTGCGCTCTAGAGCCCGCGAGCCACAGCTACTGAACTTGCCTGCTACAACTACTGAAGCCTTCACGCCCAGAGGCCATGCTCTGCAACAAGAGAAGCCACCACAATGAGAAGCTCACATACCGCAACAAAGAGTAACCCCTGCTCGCCGCAACTAGAGAAAGCCCGCGCGCAGCAACGAAGACCCAATGCAGCCAAATAAATAAATAAATAGATAAATGGGGAGGAAAAAGACATAAATAAGTGGGGAAAGATAACACGTTCATGGATAGGGAGGCTCTATGCAACAAAGATGATATTAACTATGTAAGCACTAACATTTATTTAAGTGCCTGAGATGCTCCAGGCACAGTTGAAATAAATAAATAAATAAATAAATATATGAATTCATTTCAATTTTCTCTAATTGAGCCTCAAGTTCAATTCAATACAATTCCAATCAGATGGAACACAATCTCCAGTCAGGAGATACAGGTGGTAACGTCTCCACTAATGCCCTTGTTTGCCTGGCAATTCTGAATAGAAGTCCATCCTACTTGAATAAAAGGAGACAAACCCTAAACACTGGCCCTTTGTATCCTCTCTATATCTGTATTCATCATGACTTTTTCCTTTTTATATTTTTGATGCTTTGACATCTTGGGACTTGGTGATGCTGAAGGAACTACCCCTCCCAGGGCTAGTCAATTCCTAGAGATAGTAAAACACTAGGCTTTCATAGGCAAACCAGCCAATCCAGAGCCCTCACCCCTTGTCCGTACCATTGTGCTTTTATACCCTGGCCACTGTCCCCTGCTCTAATCATCCAGGACCAGGTACCAGAAAACTAGGGACAGCCCATCTGCCCCAGAGCCAATTTTCCCACAGCCTGTAGAAACCAGAATAAAGACTCGTGTTCACATTTTCCCCTGCCCTCTCTGCCTCCTGACCGACCTGGTATTTCCCCATGTGGCCCTGCATGGTATGAGCCTCCTGTTTCTAGGGATCCGTGAGTATAAAAACTTCTTTCTTCATGACAGTCATTTCTGTATCTGCATGTCTTGCCATATCTGATGAAAGCAAATCTCAATACCCTTAATGCAATATTCTGCTTCACCCACTCATACCTGACCCCTGGCTTGATCCCAACATAGACTAGACTTCTCTTAAGTAATTCCTTTACCAGTCTCATCATCTAGCATGCAAAGTGTAGCAAGGCAGAGTGCAGGGTGGAACCTAAAGGGAAATCAGTTGTCACAGATCCCCAGAGGCCCCCAAGCAGAGCACCTGCAGTCATGGATCTTGTTTGAAGAACGTGGCTTGCTCGGCAAAACCAGCTGGTCCATGCCTGGTGCCCTGAGGATAAGGCAATCATCCTCATAGGTAGTGGAGACCAGCACGAGGCGAGGCTCCTGCCGGGCAGTCACCATGTGTCCACCTTCCTTAATCACCAGCCAAAACCTGCCAAGAAACAAACAAGGGCGCATCAGAAAATCTTCTTCCATAGCTTCCCTCTAGCTTTCTATTTCATCAAAACCCTCCCTCTGCCCCAACTCAGGACCCAACAATTTTTTCCAGACAGTATCCAGGTCTAGCCAAATTTGGGGGGTCCAAAACTCTTTGGCTGTTTGGTACAAACAGCCCTGGAAAAGAACATCTGGCCAATGTATGAAAATCCCCAGTCCTGAAAATCCTTCTGGTGAGGCTGATGTAGGGACCTTCTCAACTGCTGGGGCAACTATTTTGCTTACTTTGGGTCTTTGCTTTGGTCAGAGACTCCTCTGAGCCTGTCTCTGGTTGAAGCAGAATGTCTTCCAGGTCTTTTTGCTGTGGAACAAGATGGGGTTGACCAACTAATGGCCCAAGCAGACTGAAACTCTAGACAAAGGTCTTGAATGTTTGTGACTCCAGTGGACGCAATCCAGCCTCTGCTGGGTTTAAATTGCTGGGGCGTGCGGACCCTGATCAGGAAACCCCTAAACAGCCTTTCTTCTTCATACGCACATTAAAACTTATATAATGTTATAAGCCAATATTACCTCCATTTTGAAAAAAGAAAATATATCTATACAATGGAATATCATTCAACCATAAAAACAAAGGAAATCCTGCATTTTGTGACAACACAGATGAAACTTGAGGGTGTTGCAATAAGAGAATAAGTCAGACAGAGAAAGACGAATACTGTATGATCTCACTTGTAAGTGAAATATAAAAAGGGGGGAACTGCTAGAAACAGAGAGTAGATTGGTGGTTGCCAGGAGTTGGGGGTGGAGGAAATGGGTGAAGGTGGTCAAAGAGGGAAAAGAGATCCTAAGAGGAAAAATTTCTGGAGATGTAATGTACATTATGGCAACTATAGTTAATAATACTGTACGGCAGGGGTCCTCAACCCCCGGGCCGTGGACTGGTACCAGTCTGTGGCCTGTTGGGAACCAGGCCGCACAGCAGGAGGTGAGTGGCAGGCTAGTGAGCGAAGCTTCACCTGTCGCTCCCCGTCGCTCCCCGTCGACCGCATTACCGCCCGAACCATCCCCCCCCACAACCCCCGTCAGTGGAAAAACTGTCTTCCACGAAACCAGTCCCTGGTGCCAAAAAGGTTGGGAACCGCTGCTGTATGGTCTACTTGCAAGTTGCTAAGAGAGAAAAGTCTCAAATGCTCTTACCATAACAACAAAGCAGAAATTATGAGAGGTGAAGGATGTGATCACTAACCTTATCATGGGAGTCATTTCACAATATATATGTGCATCAAATCATCACATTGCACACCTGAAACCCACACAATGTTATATGTCAATTATATCTCAATAAAGCTGGAGAAGAAAGAAATTCATGCAAATCATGTGTTAGATAGGAACTCCATTCACCTTCTAGAGACACCTCCCTCCGCCCCCGTTGTAGGCTCAGCTTTCACACGCTGTGTATCACATCCAAGGGGACAGCGGGGTGCGGGGTGAGCTGAAGAATGGAATGGGAGGCTGACCTGCTTAGGTTGGCTAGGCTTTTATCGATAGTAGAGCATGCATTTGGGGTGACGCTGCACAAATGATTTGATGACTAAGAAAGAAAAACATGCCACCCCTAGGGGAAAGGAGTTTCAACATCGCTGTTCTAGACAGAGCAAGTGCAGTGGGTGAGGAACTCTGCGGGCTCTGATGCGTGAGCCACCACTGAACGCTGGGGCCTCCCACACGTGAGCAGGATAAAAGGGACAGCCCCTTCCAGAAGGAGGGAGATATTTCAAAATGTGACTGGAGCCAGATGGAATGTTCACAATAACCTGGTGAGGACATCTGCTATTATCACAGCACAGGGAACCCAGGGTCTCCTGACCCTGGCAGGTAATCTGCCCTCTGGAACCTCCCAGTCAGGCAACCTATCCCTGTCCAGGTTCTGGATAACTCCCTTCCCCTGCAACCAGGCCAGCAGACAGGGGCTGGGTCCTGAGCCCTGCTAACGGGCATGTGCGTTGGTGCGAGGGTACAGCGGCGGGGATGGTGAGAGTGCAAAGGCATTTTAGGAATTGCCGCGGCTACTCTTCCCAGGAGTCGAGGATGCTGGACAGTAGTAGGTCTCCGACCCTCTGAGGAGGCCACCTTTTTCTTTCTAGGGATCTTTGGTTCCCAGGGTTCTCTAGCCCGTTCACCTATGGGGTGAGGGTGGGTTCTGTGACCCAGGGATTTCCTGTCTACTTTGTGACAGCCCTATTCCCTCGGGCTTGGGCCCCGTTCCTTATTTCCAGCCTCACCCTTGGGTGCAGAGGCCTGGATGACTCTGTTCCGATGAACTCCACCAAAGTCTGCACTTGAACTTCCAACGTGGCCCGTCCCCCTCTGAGACAAGGTTCGCCCTGAGAGCTGCACATGACCAGACACATGTCCAGACAGGAGACACCCCCCCACCCCACCCCACCCCCCACCATGGCCCATTATTTCTGACAGTCAGCCCCCTCCCTGGGCTGAGTCTTCTCACCTGTCGTCCATCCCCCAACTTTAGCCCTTCACTCTGGCTCTCAAGCCACGCCTCCACTCTTGCCTGTTGTATAATCACCTGGGGGTTAAGCCCTGGGACGTCGCAGGAGAAGTGGTGGCTAGAGGTTCTGTGCTAATCCTGCAATGGAAGGGGCAGGTGGCAACTTGCAAGCAGCCCAACACTGCGGTAGGATGAAAGACCACAATAAAAGATGCAAAGGTGGGCTTCCCTGGTGGCGCAGTGGTTGAGAGTCCGCCTGCCGATGCAGGGGACACAGGTTCGTGCCCCGGTCCGGGAAGATCCCACATGCCGCGGAGCGGCTGGGCCCGTGAGCCATGGCCGCTGAGCCTGCGCGTCCAGAGCCTGTGCTCCGCAACGGGAGAGGCCACAACAGTGAGAGGCCCGCGTACCACAAAAAAAAAAAAAAAAAAAGATGCAAAGGTGCCATCGGCAACATATCCCAGCCAGCCACCCCCATCACCCTGTAACCGGGATGGTGATAGTTTTCACCTCTTGCACACAAATGATGCGCAGGGAATGACTAATGACCTCTGTTCTGCCAGCTCGGAAAGAAAGGATGTGTCTGGAGTGTGGATTTTTTCACCACCCATTTTTTCTCGTCTGCAACCCTGAATGCCAGCATCTTCATTTTACAAAGAAAACATGAGTATGTGGCATGAAGAGCAGTGCAGAGACCAGAGCTCAGTCTCTAAAAGAACAGCAATGCCCTGAACAACCAACAGCCGTGTTCAGGAAGCAGAGTCCAAGACAACTGGAAAGTCCATTTCTAAACTGGCAAACTGACCTGGGAAGTAGGAATGACTGAGCTGGAAAAGGGGGGAAAACAGGAGCCCTACCACAGAGAGCTGGAGGGTAAGGGCAGGAGGGAATGACACTTGGGATAATGAACTTAGCAGACTCATGTCTCCAAGAGGTAATAGTCTATGCAGAAGAAATGAAGGGCTGGATTTATCAACGGGCGAGTCATACACGGTTGCTGAGGACAGTGAGGGTTTACAAGGTCAGGGAGGGCAGCCATGCCCTCCCAGCATCTATACCAAGCAGCCAGTGTTAGCCTTCTGCTGGATGGACTTGAGCTCAAAGCTCAGAGCTCTCAGGCCAAGCATTCGCACAGAGATGCTAAAGGCTTTGAGCAAAATCGCTCTAGAAATTTAAGGTACAGAGCACTTAGAGAGGACGTTCTTGGCTTCTTAGAACAGTTCCAAAGACACAGATTCAAATTGGAAATAAATAAAGGCAGGCTTTTCCTGCATTCTAGACTATTTGTAGTTTTGTGATTGAACTCTCAATTTGAGAGAATAACAGCATTTAGCAGAGAGAATAACAGCATTTAGCAGAGCTCTTTCCTTGCTTTTGAGTTTCAATTATCCTTTAATAAATAAAATCTAGATTTGATAACGTCTTGGAGATCATCAAGTTCAACGTCTTTTGCAAATGAATAAAAAAATGAGGCTCAGAGAGGTTAAGTGACTTTGCCTGGGGTCTCCTGATCCTTGGCACAACCCTTGCCCTTGTAAATCACATGCTGGTTTTATAGGAGGGGCATGAGCGCTGCACTCAGAGATCTGAGTTCAAAACCCTCCAGCACATAACAGTCTTGTGATCCTGGGTGAGATACTCATTCTTTCTGATACTGTTACCTTATTTGCGAAGTGGACGCAATACCTAGCCCACAAGATCGTTCTGAGGCTTAAATTACATCATCTGTTGAAAGGACTTAGTTAAGCATCTGCTGCCTATGAACCATTGAATAAAAGTTTATGCCATCGTTTTTCCCTGCCTCATCCCAGTCTCCATACCACCCCACCCCACCCCAAGCATTTATTGTTCAAAACAAGGGAAAGTTGATACAGTTCCATCTATTTTCAGATGCCCACAGGAGCAGAAAAGCAAAGGACAAATATTCTCTTTCCATGGAAGCAAGAGTCACAGCAATGTAGTGACCATGAGCAGGGGGAAAGCAACAGTTATTCTGGTGAAAAGAGGAAACACAGATAAGAACTGAATCTCTCTGTGAAATAACCCCAGTCCTTCACGTGAGGAAGGAAGGAGCACAAGTCCATTTTCTCTGGGTGTGCATCCTGAGAATCTGCCTCGTCACTCTGCCTGAGGTCTTCCCAGCAGTCAGAAGGCTTTTCTAAGCCTTCACACTTGAATAGGTTTGAAAAATGCTCTTATTCTTAATGGTCACAGAGGAAACCCTCTCATGATGGCATCAGAATTACCTGGGGAGATTTAAACACCCCACACGACTTTGCTTCACTCTTGGTGATTCTGAGTCCGTAGGTCTGGCATGGTAATCTCAGGAAATTATAGTCTTAAAAAAACTCTCCAGGGCTTCCCTGGTGGCGCAGTGGTTGAGAGTCGCCTGCTGATGCAGGGGACATGGGTTCGTGCCCCGGTCTGGGAAGATCCCACGTACCTCGGAGCGGCTGGGCCCGTGAGCCATGGCCGCTGAGCCTGCGCGTCCGGAGCCTGTGCTCCGCAACGGGAGAGGCCACAACAGTGAGAGGCCCGTGTACCCCCAACAACAACAACAAAAAAAACTCTCCAGGATTAGAAATCTGAGGTGAAAGGGGATGGAAAATGCCCCACGAGTTACATGGTCTGCACACACAGCGGTGCTCTACAACAAGCTGAAGTCTTTCAGTGTCATGGGAGCCCACAATTCTTTAAGAGGACAGCAGTCTTCAGAGAAGAGAAAATAATACACGTGTCCTGGAGTGATCTCAGGACAGCAAACAGCCTCTCTAGAAGGCTCCCTGAACGACCAATTTGCAAACCTCCCTCCCCCTAGACACAGGACCACAGCTAATCCACCCAAGCCAAACAGGAAAGCATCTTCATCCCAAGGAAACAAAGAAGGAGGTTCTCTTCTTCCTTGTTCACTCTTTTCAGGGTTTAGCATCCTTCTCTGTCAAGGGTGCTTTCCACGTAGCGAGCTGCACCATTCTGTGTCCATGAGTATGTGTCTGTGGACTCACCTCTGGGGGGAGAAAAATGTCAGGGCACCTTTTCTTTTCTGAGGGAGGAGGATGACATTTCTATGTGCCAGGCCCTGTGTAGGTAGGGACTTTAGAGTTCTTCACTGAAAAGCACCCTGCCTCTGGGGGGAGGGGACACACTTTTGTTTTAATGGCAAGTATTATACGCACAGTCTACCTGTCACCTCCTCTCCCCAAAGGAAGACTTCGCTCTGCTCATTCTGTATCAAAGTGGGTCAGGCCCCCCACCGCCTGCATCTCCCAAGCACCTTCCCCAGCACCAGAAGCTGTGAGGGGCAAACCCCAGCAAGGCCAAAGCCAGTGTCCTTGAACTTGGTTTCAGCATTGCTCCCATCTACCCACTAGTGCCAATAACGTTTTATTTTTCTACGATTGTGCTCATACTAAGAATCAGAAAGCTTAGAACTAGAAAGAGCCTTGGAGATAACCGGTCGGACCCTGTCCTTTTACAGAGCCTCTCCTCCAGGGGGTGGGGGGCAGAGGCTTTGTAACCGAGCAGGACTCTCCGAGGCCTTCCCAGGACAGGCCCTTTCCCCATATCCTCTGGTTTAGCTCCTCTCTGAAGTACCTAGATAACAGTATTATTTATTTATTTATTTTTGCGGTACGCGGGCCTCTCACTGTTGTGGCCTCTCCCGTTGCGGAGCACAGGCTCTGGACGCGCAGGCTCAGCGGCCATGGCTCACGGGCCCAGCCGCTCCGCGGCATGTGGGATCTTCCCGGACCGGGGCACGAACCTGTGTCCCCTGCATCGGCAGGCGGACTCTCAACCACTGAGCCACCAGGGAAGCCCGATAACAGTATGTGATGCACATTTCCTGAATTGTTTTACAGATGTGACAACCCCCCATCAAATGGAAGATGTTAACTACTTGATGACCAAAAGTGCATAGCCCCAGGCCTCCTGGAGCCAAAGGAATGATGATGTTAACCCCTGTGACACCATCCTCTTACCTCACCATCAACCAGCTGGAGAACTGTGCACGAGCTGATCACATACCCTGTGACACCCCCCTCTCTCACCTGGTTTTTTTTTTTAACATCTTTATTGGAGTATAATTGCTTTACAATGGTGTGTTAGTTTCCGCTTTATAACAAAGTGAATCAGCTATACATATACATATGTTCCCATATCTCTTCCTGCTTGCATCTCCCTCCCTCCCACCCTCCCTATCCCACCCCTCTAGGTGGTCACAAAGCACCGAGCTGATCTCCCTGTGCTATGTGGCTGCTTCCCACTAGCTATCTACCTTACGTTTGGTAGTGTATATATGCCCATGCCACTCTCTCACTTTGTCACACTTTTTAAAATGCTTTGCCAAAACCTTTCAGGGAGCTCTGGGTCTTGGGGGGCCTGAGCCACCCGTCTCCTTACGTGGGCTTGCAATGAACCTTTCTCTGCTCCAAACTCCAACCTTTCGGTTTGTTTGGCCTCACTGTGTCTTAGGGCACAGGAACTTGCGCTAACATCTTGCCTCCACTACCTTTCCAAATCTGCACCAGACACGAACTTCACCTTTCCAGCTTCAGGATCAAAGGCAGAGGATCCAACAAGCAGCCCAGGACACGCACGTGGCAAACCTCCCTTCTCCTACCCTGGGACAGGCCCCAGCTCCCCAGCCCCGCTCTCTCCCTCCTCAGCAGGTCCTGCGCTGTCGCCGCGCCCGGCCCTACCTGTCCCGCAGGTGACCGCTGCGCAGCCCCAGGGCCGTGCACTCCGCCGCCTTCACCGACACCCCCTTGCAGGACTTGACGGGGTAGATCCAGAGCTCTGCCACGGTGCCCACCTGCTGCAGCCGCCGGCGCCGCCTGGGCCGCGCGCGGCGCCAGGCCACGGCCCCCAGCGCCACCGCGGCCAGTCCCAGCGCGGCGACCCCGAGCCAGCGGGGTCGGGGCTGCGGCGCGGAGAGTCCCAGGCGGGCCAGCGCGGACGAGCCGGCGGCGCCCATGACCCAGCGATCGCGAGCGTGGGTCTGAGCGCGGACTAGGCAACGATTGGCGTGGGGAGGGCGCCCGGGCGCTCAAGGCTGCAGGCGAGCGGGAGGAACAAGAGTTGGCCCAAGCACAGGCCCTGGCACCCTTTCCGCGCGCCGAAAGGACTGGCTGTGCGCAGGGAGGGGACGCCTAACTGGGTGCCAAGGACCAGGCAGTAGCCGAGAGAAGCGAGGCAGAAAGCGAACTGGGATGCTCGGGTGCCCTTGGGGGCGGTTCGGGAGGCCCCACACCAGAGGTCTGGCTGCCCACTGTCTCTGGAACGGTCACTTTCGCTTTACTTCTCCCCTTTCCCGGGGCCCTGCGACTCAGCGTAACTCCTCACCCGCCCTCACGGTCCCCGGCTCTCCACTGCCCCTTCGCTCCCTGTACTGCCCACTTTGTTGCGTGATTGCAGCGCAGGGAACAGTGCAAGTGGATGGCAGATTGCAGAATGGGTGATTTTAAATGTTTAGGAGCTCCTACTGGCAGATCGCTCTGAGAACTGCAGAACTTTCGGCCCATAACCTGCTCCGTGGAAACTTATGCACTCTGAACAAACTCGAGAGTAGCTTCTTCTTCTTTTTTTTTTTTTAATACATCTTTATTGGAGTATAATTGCTTCACAATGCTGTGTTAGCTTCTGTTGTACAACGAAGTGAATCAGCCATGTGCATACCTGTATATCCCCATACCCCCTCCCTCTTGAGCCTCCCTTCCACCCTCCCTATCCCACCCCTCTAGGTCACCGCAAAGCACGGGCCTGATCTCCCTGTGCTATGCGGCTGCTTCCCACTAGCTCTCTATTGTACATTTGGTAGTGTATGTATGCCGATGTTACTCTCACTACGCCACAGCCTTCCCCTCCCCCCCACCTCGCTCCCCCACCCCCGTGTCCTCAAGTCCATTCTCTATGTCTATGTCTTTATTCCTGCCCTGCCACTAGGTTCGTCAGTACCATTTTTTTTCTTTTTTTTTTTGATTCCATATATGAGCATGGCTTCTTGCCGCATAAGGCCAAGTCCCAAGGATGACCCTAGCTTCCCATTAAAATGCCTGCCTGAGAAAGCTCCCTGCTGCCGGGAGATTTCACTGTTCCAGCCAACATCCACGACCGGCCTCTCACCCCCTTTCCTTCCGTTACGGACCTTTGTTCTTGGTCTCCTTAATCGATAGAAATTGACAAGAGGCCAGGCAAGAAATTCGGGCAAGGCTCTCTTGGGACTTGAGTTGCACCACCAGAGAGCGAAAACAAGTGACAGGTTCCCTTGCTTACTCCCTGAGGCGGGTGAGTGTAGGGGCGGGTCCGGGGGTAGGGCTGGAGGCGTGGCTTCGGTCATCTGCCCACCCCCGCGGTGGTGCTGTGTGCTGGGGGCATGTGCGGTCCCCTGCTTTTGCTGAGTTTTTGGTCGTTTTGTATCTTGTTCATAATTTGCCCCAATGGCGCAGGCACGCAGTTATTTTTAGTCTCTTATAATTTCTTCGTATTTTGTCGCTGGAGGAGATGTTTGTCCAGGTGCAAGCACTGCAGCAAAGGGTCCCAGGTCCCAGCCTGTCTCACTTAGAGCACTTACTCCCTCTGTCCCTTCCAGATGTGTATGAACCTCCCACAACTCAGAAGGGTTTTTCTCAAGGACCTGAGAGCCATGCCTTTGAACTGTAATCAGTACCGGCTGGCCGACCCCGGGTCCACTGCCCCACCCTTGTCAGTTTTCACCTGAGCCCCCCTGGCCTCCTTCACCCTTTAAAACCCAGTCACCTCTGCATTCACGGGGCTGTCCTTTCCCCTGCTCATCAGTAGTTACTGCATAAAATCTGTTTTTTACTAAAGTTCAGCTTTGTTACTCCTTACCAGCTCCATTCACACAAGCTCTTTGGTAAACGGTGGATTTTCTTAGAGAAGTTAAGCTTTGAGGTCATTTGTTTATTTTGTTTATTTTTCAAAGATTGTCCCTTAACCTGCGGCACGGTTCTAGAGTTTACGGAGGCAACCAGCGGGTAACCTCCCACAGTCCTGATTGGTCATCCTCTGGAGAAGAGGACCATCCTCCAGGCTGGGAGGAGAGCAGAGGAGGGCGGGAAGCCAGAGACAAGCTCCCTTCTGCAGTTCCTCGTGCAAAGTGAAAGTCAAAATCTCCCTGCAAACGGGACCTGTTTGAAATCCCAGGCCCGTGGACTTCTGTGTCTTCAATAAGCACACATTCTCATCATACTCAGAGGCCAAGACTTGGACTTCTTTTTCAAGTGTACTGTTGGTAATGAGGTGTGTATTTAAACTTGCACCTGGACCCCTTCGCCTCCCCAGACACTAGACCCCATGAGTTTACCATCAGCACGAGGTCCTTATAAGCCCATCTTCCTCACGGGCAGTGAGGAGGAACAGACAGGAGAAACAACTTGTTCATTAAGTATCTGTTCCTTTCCACACACATTTATTGATCATTCCCCCTAGATTGACCCTGGGGATTTAACGTTTAGAAGAAGCTTCCCTGTTGTTCAGGAGCTCACAGAGCCCCTGGAAGACGGACTGGGAGGACAATGTTTGAGGGCAGGCACGGTCAAGGTGCCGTGCAAGTGAGATGAAAAAGCAGGGAAATCGCAGGACAGTGGTGTCTTCAGAGGAAGGAGTTTTTGAGCTGAGACTTTAACAAAAAGGCTTTGAGAAGGGGCCCGAGGAGGGGATCCTGGGCCAAAGATGCACGTACAACGTGGACTGAAGGAACAAGAGGATGTGACATGTTTGGACAGCCACTAGCAATCCAGCTTTATTAGAACGTACCTGTGTACGCAAGCGGTAGGGGGAGTTGAGGCAAGACAGGTGGGCGGGGCCAGACCACAGATGCGCCTGTCTCATCTTAATGTGGAGACACCTCAGGATTCAGAACAGCAGTGAGGTGTGATCAGACTTGGGTGTTAGAAGGTCACTTTGGCTGCTATGGGAAGGAATAATGCCAAAGGTGGTTAAATGAGAGGCTAATGCCCTAGATCAGGCTGAAGTAATCCCGAAACAGGGAAAAACAATAATGGAGATGATGGAGATGGGGGGACTTCCCTGGCGGTCCAGCGGTTAGGACGCTGCGCTTCCACTGCTGGGGTCCTGGGTTCGATCCCTGATTGGGAAACTAAGATCCCAGAAGCCTTGCGGCACAGCCAAAAAAAAAAGATGGAGTCGGGGCTGTGGATAGGAGAGATAGGAGACAATTAGCAAGAGGTGGTGACAGAGGAACACTGTGATTGAGAGAGAGAAGGAGTCCACGGTGACTCCCAGCTCTCTGGCGTAGCTGTCTGGGTACCGGTGGGAGGCGCCATTCTCTGAGATAAAGAATTCAGGAGAAGAAGCTGATGGGGAGAAAGATGACGAGCTCTGTTGTGAACAGTTAGTGAGACTTATATGTGGGACGTGGAAGAAGAAATAGTTACCTGGACAGGTAACTTGAATCCTCTGGGCTTCCATGTCCTCAACTGTAAAATAATGGCTATAGCCCTCTAAGATATCAGCTCAAAATTCTGTATTTCCTAAATCCATGCTAGCTGGCATTGGCTCCAACAGACAATCAAGTGAGGAACCTTGCCATGGTGAGTGCCAGGTCTCTGCTACCCTCACCCAACATTACCTAGCACCTAGCCTGCCCTGATTGCCATTTCACCAGAGCTCAGGGTGGGGGTGATTTCAGGGGAGCAGGGAAATTCCTTAGCAGAAATGTGTACCGTAGCAGCCCTAGCATCTTCATTTCTAGAATCTGTGAGAGGTGATGGGAGGGGGAGGATCTATTAATCATCTTATTGGTTATTTGCTTTTCTTTTCCCTGTTGAGTTCAGAGATTGATGGTCTTGTCTGTATTTTTCTTGTTGATTGATAAGAGACTTTTGGAAATTTATAAAAATACACTTTTAGCATATGTGACTCAGGGTTTTGACTCTTCCCCCTAATTCGTCAGTTTGGGGACAACTTCTGCTTCATAAGACATCACTGTCTGGCTAGAGGCACTGATATATCTAAATAAAACTCAGTTGATTAGAGTACCAACACAGGAAACAGAGGGAAAAAAAAGAGTCTAAAATGCAAATATTGCTCTTGCTTAGCCAGGCCTTTATCAGGAGTGTGGGTCCCCAGCAACCAACAGAATTAGTAGGGCCACTCAGCAGTATATCTCTCCTGGGGAGATGTACAAATAAGATTATCAGAATGTGATGATAATCAAACTTCAACTCACATAAGAAAACGTATGAGTGTAAAATCTAAAATGTTGTAACCATCTCAAAATCTCAACAGTCTAACAAAGTAAAAGTTGATTTCTCACTTAATCCCAGTTCAGTGCAGACCAACAATGGAGCTAGTCATTCAAGGACCCAGGCTCCTTCAAGGTTGTTGCTCTCCCCTCCATTCAGTCAGTGAGAAGAGAAAGTGAGCAAGGCTCTTGTGTGGGAGGTTTCATATTGGGCTGATCCTGGAAGTGGTGCACATTCTTCTCCTCACATCCATGAGCCAAAAGCCAATCCCACAGCCACGTGTGGAGAGAGGTATAGAGAATTGAGAATGGGCAGGCTGTTCAGGACAGGAGGAAGTAGAGTCTATCTGTTCCCAGCAAGAAGAGGGAATTTGAAAATGATGATGCTAGTGATCTCTACCACTGCTGGTGCCACACTCACAGCCCCTTTCTGAGAAAAGGCCCCCTTGGGGTTATTTCTGTACAAACGTGCTATTACACTTGCCTTCTGGGATGAAGGAATCACCTTTCCTACCCTGGCTACAAAACCAGAAGTAACAATAAGGGAACCAACCATCTGTGAAGTGACTTGACTCAAAACCTTATTGAATAAGAAAAATCCATATTGGATAGCAATAAAGTGACCCAATTAGATCTCCTGAGAAATTAGAAACGGGAGACGCACACAGGAAAGGAGGGTCACTGAACGGTTACTAGCCACACCATGTTTTCTCATTGGCGATTTCTCAGGCTCGTCACTATCCACTCTGCTCAGATCCTCCTCCCTCTGCCTCCTGACTCACTCTGAGTAGATGACCTGGCCTCCAAATTCACAGAGCAATAGAAAGCATCAGACACGACTCCCTCAATCCCCAGCCCCTAAATGTACACACCCTCACGCACCCCCATTTGTGCACCCTTCTTCCTCTCCTCCTGTTCATTGGGTCACACATCTCCCCTGCTGCCCGAGGCTCATTCAGCCTTTGGTGCATGGGATCCTCCTCCTGCCCTGGGTTCTACTGACTCACCAACCAGCACATGACCACCTTTCTCTCTGGAGGCTTCAACCTCCTCTCACTGACTTAGTTCCTTCCAGCATTTAAATACACTAAAGTAATTTTCATCTTTTAAAAACTCTCCCTGACCTACCCCTTCTCCTCCTCTTTACAGTCACACTTTTAAATGGGTTGTCTGTGGACACCATCTATAAACACCTTCTCAACCCTCACTTATTACCCCTCACAACCTGGTTTCCATCCCCATGCCCCTGACTGTTTCTTACCAAGGCACCATGCACCCTGAGAACACTTCTCTCTCTTCCCTTAGTTGCACTAACCCTGGTGATCACTCTGTCTTTTTTATTCCAA